AGCTGATGGTTCACGACTTGTTGTAACCACAATTTTCGGGTCGCCACACCCAGCCCATCGATATTCATCATCTACGCTTGATACTTGTTCTGAAGTATTGAAAGAAAATTCAACAATCACGTTTCAATCCCGAACTAAATTTGTATGTTTCAAATTCGAAACTAACTGTAAGTCTGAAGCTAACCAAACTAAATAAATTTGAAACTAAGTCTGAGGCTAACCAAATTAACGCAATAATAAACTAATTCCTAGCGATGATGGTGGTGAAATTTTAAATGCTTTCGTCGTACGCAGAGAGTATAAAACAGCAGAATGAAAAGATCTTAACTTGATACCCTCATTCGAGAAGGAAAATATATTTTGATTAAGAAGGTGAAGTATACCTCCCCATTGTGCGGCCTTCTGCAGTTCAATTGCATCCTTGCGCAGATGAGTGGGTATTCTGCGATTTTCGTCAACAGCTTTTTTCACGATTTTGCGTTTCTCGTCGATCGCTCTCTGTTTCTCTTCACAACTCTTTCGATAGATATATTCCCTTCGAAGACGTGCTTCACGGCGAAACATCTCTGATCATATAAAGTAAGGTCCAACGTATTGACAAGAAATGCACACAACAGAAACCTGCAATTTACATACTTGTTTTATTGAAGAGCGAATGCAATATTGCTTGAATTATTCGGATGAACGAAACGTGAAGCAAAGACTCCAAAATCGGTAACTGAAGACTGAAATACGGCACCTAGATAGCAGGATTACCAACAGTCGATCAAAAATACCAAGCATAGTACCAAAATACAGGTTAAAAACACCCTTTTTCAAAATCAATGGAATAATTTTTCGGAAACGTTCACTCTTTCGTAATGTGTTATTTCGCCAACTAGTAAAATTTTGCGATGTGGCTGTTTCATTGATTCGACTGAATTATCTTGTTGTTTTGTTAAGGAATCGGAATAGTCGATTCAAGGAAATGGTTGTTTCACCAGAATATCATTCAACTGTAAATCTAATTCAAAGCACTTACTAGGTGCATTAAAATCCGTAAAATATTTTATGCGACCGTATTTTCAGCGCCATTTCTAAATGGGTTCAATCTCAAAGAAAATATCGAGGATTGGTACTCCACAAAGATATTTCTCTTATTGTCGGCGATGCCTTCAGAAACAGGAGCAGTCGTCATCTGTGCCCGAAAAGAAGCCAACACCGGATATCACGTGGGTTCACAGTGTATAAGTTTCATTATATACGCGCAAATCTCGAATAAATTAATTAAAGTAAAGGTGGGATACGTGGTTAAGTTTACGTGAAAAATTTTGCGTTTGTGTTCGACTTCTGTGTAGATTTTGAAGTTTTGCTGAAACAGAAGTTGATTTCGTATTGTAGAACAATGGATTTGTTGGAGGACCGCATAAGGAAGCGCCAAGCAATCAGAGAAGAGCTTGTTGGAGGTCAAACTCTGAAATGGAACTATCGTTCTGAAATTGTTAAAGTGAGCCGATTTTTTTTTCATTCCCCACTTTTTTGAAATACTTTCATAATATTGCTGAGAAAAGCGTCGTAACCTGTAGTGAATTTCAGTTCATTTTTATGACTATGCAAAAAATTTCATTCCAATATAAATGTGAGTTTGATCAACACTCAATGCTGAATAAATCATAAATTTACGACTAATCAATTCTTGAACTTTTTAAACCTTGTTGTCTAAAAAACTGAATTTGTTTGGTAAGTTTTTAAAATT